TATATTTTTAAATATTTTAATTTTTTTGTTATGTGTTTTGTTATGATTTGAGTGCAGAGTTTTGAAAATAGTGTGGAGTTTCGAGTTATGTGTTTGGTTATGAGGTTTGAATATAATTTTTGAATTGAGTTTTAAGTTATGCGTTTGGTTACAATTTGAGTGTGAAATTGTGTTTTGAGTTTAAAATATTAAAATTAAAAAATTAAAATATTTACAAAATAAAATAAAATATTTAAATAAAATTATATATTTAAAATAAAAAATAATTTTTTTAAATTTTTTTTCAGTTCTTGAATTGGGCACTTGAGGGCATTATAGGCATTTTAGTGCTTACATTTTGATGACATCAGCAGGGTCGGTTAGGTGTATAAACGACGGTCAAATTTTGAGAGAATCTTGACATTATCAGGTAAAGTAGGGGAGGTTACTGTAATTATTCAAACTACATGGGAGGTCCCTGTATTTGTCAGAAACCTTAGGGGAGGTAAATGTAATTTACCCTTTTTTTTTTAATTTTTTTTTATCAAGTGCACTTATTTGTTTTAATATTTGTTTTAGTTTTTTTAATATAAAAATAATTTTTTTATTTATTTTATATAAAAATAATTTAACAATCCCATCACTAACCACCTCTCATACTATCAGTAAAACAAACACACTTTTACTTAATCCCCTTACTAATAATTCTCACATTAACAATCTCTTCACTAACTATTCTCTCACTAACAATCTCATCTAACTTAATTCGCCAAACAAAATGGCCTAAAAGTAATCATTCTTCAACTTCTGGATAATTAACTTCTTTAAGTTTTTTCAATCTCATAAATTCTAAGTACAAATTGTGCCAAATAAATTAGCGACAATGCTACGTAACTCAAATTTTGTGGCTCAAAAGTGGCTTAAATGGCCAAAACGACGTCGTTTTGAGTACAAAACAACATAAAAATGGCCAAAACGACGTCGTTTTGGCCATTTGAGCCACTTTTGAGCCACAAAATTTGAGGTACGAGACATTTTCCATAAACTAGTATAGACTCCTTAAAAAACAAAAAACTCTATAATTTGCACCAAAGAAAACCAAAGCGGGTTGGATTAAAATGAAAGACTGCAAAATGAAATTTACCTTTATTCTTGGTACCAATTATTTATTTATTTATTTTTTTTTTCAAAGAGAGAAAAAGTCATATGTCCAATTGATTGGCATTGCAATTGAGTCATTTAGCTGCAAAAAGGCAGTTTTACGTAATTGAAATTTTTCATGCCTAATACATTACATCAAGCACTGCCCATGCATGACATGTAATATTCAAACTGATATGTAAACATATACGCATATATATCTGTAATGATCAGATGATATGTTCCCATGTAAGGTATGACGAGACCTATGCATTTAGAAAACATTAATATCCTAATGAATTGCGTATTAGTATGCACGTTTTGAAATATGATACACTTTCCTTTCAAAATGATAAATTTAATGATCTGAAACGATTTCTAAATTTTTTTCTATTATATTTTCTTAAATGTTAACTTGGGAGAAAAAAATCACATATATGAACTAAAATTTAAGGTGAATTTTGTTTTGACAAGACAAAAAATCAAAAATAGATCATAATTTTCATAAAAATGATTTCCTACATGAAAGAACAAAAAATTGTATTGGATACTTAATTGTTAAAAGAAAATTATTTAAAAAATATTTTAAATTCTTAAGTATAATATATATAAGTCTACTCCTATCATATCATATTTTAAACCATATGACGTATTATATTTTTATTTCCATTCCTATTCCGTGTGTACTGAAACAATTCAAATTCTAAATAACATAGGATGAGACCCCTCATCTTCCAATTAAAAACTACAAGTTTGTCATTGGGTCAAATTCCAACAAAAGGAGAAATAGAGAAAAATTTGTAGTTGGGATTTCCCAAAGAGATTGACTTGTGGATTATTAGTCTGGTGTAGAGATGACAATTTAAAACCGGTCCGATGGGGACCCGACCTCCCGATCCCGAATTAAGTAGGTTTTTTTTGAAAAATACCCCCGACGGGACGGGGATGGTGATTGAAAATCAATCCCCGAACAGATTCGGGCCGGGGACGGGGATCAGTGTTCTAGTCCCGTACCCGGCCCGGCCCCGGCCCCGATCCCTGGCCCGGTTTTATCCCCGATGTTAAATTACAATTTTACCCTTACACACACACACACACACACATATATATATATATAAACCAACCAGGTCAGTCCTCTCACATCTCATTTCTCTCTACCTGTCTCTGTCTCTCATTTCTCTCCACGGTAGACTCTACCTCACTGACTTCTCTCTCTCTCAAATCCACCACCACCGCCGAGCCTCCATCTTCTTTGCTTCAAACACGCACAGCCGCCCTACCGAACACGTCGCCGACCACCACTCCTGGAGTTGCTTAGCTGCAAGATCATATCTTTTTTTTTTCTTTTTTTTTTCAGATCTGTTTCAGATCTGATTCACAATTTTTTTTTTTTTAGATCTGTTTCAGATCTGTTTCTGATGTTGTATAATACATCCCTTGTGATTAACTTGTATTTTCAGATCTGATTAAATTTATTGGCAGTGATTCACTGCACACAACCCTTGTGCAGACATTAAAATATGGATGTATCAACTTGTATTTTTGGATGATGTTGTTGATGTTGTTGTATTTTCGGATGTTGTTTCAGATCTGTTTCTGAGTTGTATTTTTTGATTTTTATTTTTTTTTTTAGCCGGGGAATGCTCGGGGGCGGGGAAACCCGATCCCCGTTGGGGGCGGGGGGGGGGGCAGGGGTCTGTATGCAAAAAGGTTTTCCATGCATTCATACATAAACAGTACAGAACAGTATGTACAATACTTACATCCATTCAAACTAGGGACTCAACCCTACATAACAGTACATAAAACATTCCGTCTGTACAAAGTTTACAGTCACACAGTACAGGGACTTAATCCCTGTATAACAGTACAGTAAACAGTCAGTCTATACAAAACAGTGAAACAGTACAAAAAGGGGGAAATTCTAAAACACCCCTAAGCCCTAACAGTAGGCTCGGAACCTCACAGTGAGGCACAAAGGCTGGCTTGACAAAACTGGAGTAACCCTGACGCCTCTAGCTGCGGTCTGGTGCCTGTACACCTACATATATATATGAGCAGTGAGCTAAAGCCCAGTGAATAACATAAAGCGTAAAGGGGTTTAGAATGAATGTCCTTACAGTATGAAAACAGTTCATTTCAATCAGTAATTCAGTTGCTCAGTACAGTAAACAGTCATATGTGGTACATCCATTAGAATATCAGTAACAGTAGGTCTTAAAAGACCGAACAGTAATGATGACCATCAGTCAGTAAACAGTAGTGGTTCCACAAGGAAACCGACAGAGATCTCTGTAACAGTAACAGTAACAGTAAACAGTAGGTACTAAGGATGCCACAGTACAGTTCAGAAATAAAGGACATACATTCATTCAGTAAAATCCAGTTCAGTAAACAGTTCAGTTCAGTATTCAAAAGATAATCAGTTGAACATATCTTTACACAATTGTTACTCACAGAGTTCTGGGCTACAGTATGCTAGAGCGTGTCTCTCCAGCTCATTGTAAGTAGTGAACATCTTCTTGTCTGCACAAATGTGAGGAGTTGTGCCAGTGTCAACCCACCATTCCTTGGGATTTCCAACCAAATTAGCCTCAGACACTACAACAGAGAGATTGATGCCATTTACCCCATCAGAGATGTAATCTAGTTCTGTCACATTGGTTTGATTAGTAGTTTTCTTGCTTGTACTTCCGCGATCCTTCTTAGGGCAGCAGCAATCAGAGGCTCGATGTTCGGTCTTGCCACAGTTATAGTATTTTTCTTTGAACTTCTTATTGTCATTATTGTAGCCTTGTTTAGGACCATTTCCGGCAAACTTCCTTTTTTTGTTATGTGGTTTGTGCACACTCTACACATACGTTACAGTTCCCCAAAATGGGGAAAAAACGAATGAATTTGAATATGGAAAAGTAAATCTATCAGATGAGAAGTATATTATGTTACGTACTCGTAGCAGCCATTTCTCTGGAAAGTAAATCGCCCGGATTTGTTCTCATGGTAGAGGATCATATACAAGTTGGTCATCTCACGGAGAAAGCAAGTCAGCCAAAATGGAAACCAGATGATTTGAAATTGCTTGATAGGTCTGGCAGCTTAAGAGTTGCAATAACCCCGGCTGCAAAGGCACTCAAGGAAGCCAAAACAAATGCAGGTATGTTTCCTCCACCAAATAGAGCATCCCATGGACCCGCACCGAGGGATATAACCATCTGGTTAAAACAATGACGTACATTAGGGGAAAATGTACAAGAAGTCTCATCCACCAAATATGTATGCCCCAAGGGGTAAATATGAAGGATTTAAGTGAAAAAAATAAATTTTAAAAGCCAAAATAAGAAAGTTGCCAAATATAATGGGGGCAAAGTATAATTTACCCTAATTTTAAAATGAATTTGACTCATTTTTCAAAAAACCTAGAAAACTAATTATGATGTTTGATAATACAAGTAACTAGGTCAAACAATTAAGACTTAAAAAATTAGACAAATATGTGGCAAAAGATTTCCACTCCATATACCCCTACAACCAGTGAAAATTTAAAAGGAGGAAAAGAAATAAAAGTAATTTGCTTATTCAACCACCTAAACATGTTTGAATAATTGTTTAGAAGATCGAGATCCAACTTTGATGTGCATGGTCATGTCCCCTTAAATTTCCCCTTTTATTTTTTTCTTTGTTTCTTTTCTCTTTTATTTTATTTATTTATTTATTGGCAGTGGTTGCCAACCCCTTGTGTGCGTTTAGTTGTTAATAATGTGAGCCTACTTTTGACATATACTTTAACCACTAAACCCCCAAAGAAGAACAGCATCCAAAAACGATCAAGATCTCATGCTATTAAATTCCTTTATATATATATATATATATATTCTTTACCATTGAGTTGTGCAAAAATCTTAAAATATGTAAAATTCAAGACATAATTCAATGATTAAGAGTGCATTAAAGACGCTAAAATTGAGAGATTTGAAAATAAAAGATCTCGTGCTAAGGTTGGATATTTGTTGTAGTTCTAAGTACTCATAAAAAAAACTCGACAGATCTACAAAGAAACTGCCACAGTTGAGAAGGTGAGAACCAAACATTGAGTCTTCGATAATGACGAACAGAGGCTTCCATCAGAGAGAACAGGTGACACCTCCCAATTCCTCTCCTGCACAAAATGGAAGAATAAGAGAGGAAAGTTTAAATAAAAAAAAACCAAAATGAAAAAATAAAAATAAAAAAGAGAGCCAGGCAAAATGTTAGTACTCACCCATATCATGCAAGTAATAATATGGAATAAAAAAGAGAATTTTGATTCAGAAATATCATTTTATAACGATGTGGAATAACATGATCGACACTATAAACCATAGCGATAGCGTTTTGTTATAAAATGAAAGGCTTATTAAGACCCAATATTGAAAAACATACCGTTATAGAATTATCAAATGACATTTGAGTTACCAAACTCGGTTTGTTCTATTTACCAAACTAAACACTCCAAAGTAGACTCCTAAACCACCTGGACAACAACAGCTCATCCTATTTCAATACTGATAATACATGTGTAGATATATCATATATGTCCATTATTAGCGTTATACAAACGCAAAAGTCAGCTAAAGTACAATTTTAGACAAATTAGATTGATAGTTCCTACATTTTACCTCTTATATCATTTTAGTTCTTATACTTTCAATTAATTCAATTTTGACCCTTAATTTTAAATTTTGTGTCAATTGAATCCAATGGATAATGCTTTTAGTGTTTTTGATGAAAAATTATTATTAAATTTGTTAAAGTTAACTTACTGAGTTGAACAAACTTATAATTTTGCCTTTCAAAACATGACATGTCACTTGAGTGCATATTTTTCATTAAAAAATGCTAACAATTGTAAGCAATTAGATTAAATTGAAACAAAATCACAAATTTATAGTCAAATCGAGCCAATTAAAACTATAAAAACTAAAATGACATAGAGACCAAAATACAAGAACTATCTACGTAATTTGCTCTAAAATTTTTTAACCGTTGAAACATGTTAAGGAAAAAAAATAAAATAAAACAATATCTGATCATCTCAGAAGGCCAAATACATGATGACTTGATTGTTCAAAAAGAATGAGAAAGCAAAGACCTAAAACTGTTATCTCATTATATGCCTTTCTATATAAAACGACAATTTTACACTCTACACATACGTTACAGTTCCCCAAAATGGGGGAAAAAACGAATGAATTTGAATATGGAAAAGTAAATCTATCAGACGAGAAATATATTATGTTACGTACTCGTAGCAGCCATTTCTCTGGAAAGTAAATCGCCTGGATTTGTTCTCATGGTAGAGGATCATATACAAGTTGGTCATCTCACGGAGAAAGCAAGTCAGCCAAAATGGAAACCAGATGGTTTGAAATTGTTCGAAAGGTCTGGCAGCTTAAGAGTTGCAATAACCCCAGCTGCAAAGGCACTCAAGGAAGCCAAAACAAATGCAGGTATATTTCCTCCACCAAATAGAGCATCCCATGGACCCGCACCAAGGGATATAACCATCTGGGTAAAACAATGAAGTACATTAGGGGAAAATGCACAAGAAGTCTCATCCACCAAATATGTATGCCCCAAGGGGTAAAGAAAAATTTATAATACAAAAAGTATAACAATACAAGGCAAGTGTGAATGCATTCAATGGCGTAGCTATGAATTTCATTCAAAAGGGTCATTAAACAAGTCATTATTGATGTCATGATATAATATTTTTAGTTATACACAACTTATCAAAATCAACATTCATATCAAACATTGTAATTTTATATATTCAAAATCACATCAACATTAAACTTGTGTCAAATTTCACGTAAAAACAAAAGCAAAGACATTAATACTATTGCTTTAACAACAATGTAGCAAAGATCTACACCTTTTACTTTTGTCCACGCCGAGTTTTCTTTTTCTTAAATTGATGCATCACCTCATTACTTATGCCATCAAACACATCTTTTTCAATACATGTAATTTTATGTGTTTTTTCCCCATCCTATTGGGTTCAATTTGTGAATTCACAAATTTATTTTTATGTTTCCTAAATTCACCAGGGTCACTATGTAGAAGTCCAAAAAATTTAACATTCAGTGGTGTCGCTTGACACCACTGACTAAGCTGTGGCTATGCTCATGAATACATCAAAAATTCAAATGAAAACAGAAATTGACCAAGAACAATGAACTACCTGAGGTATGACAATTGCAAGATTTAGGACCCCTATGGCCAAGCCTGCGTAGATGCACAAACTCCTCAGTTCACAGTTCAGTGAAACATCTACTCCTCAGTTCACAGTTCAGTGAAACAGAAAAAAGACAAAAAAGATAGAAAAGCAATTTATATTTTACACAAACCTTGACCACCTCCTGAATCAGCAGTCAACTCCGCGGTAACAGAGAAGGGAACACTATAAGTGATCTGCAATATGGACAGTAAATTCATGTAAAACAACAGATAATAACCACAGAACTGGAAGAAAACGAACATGGTGGAGCACTCTTTGCACAAGTTTGTGAATGCATGAATTATTTATAAATATATATGGCATGGAATGTGTAAGTCATTAATGGAGCACTGCCTTGCAGCAAAAAATATTGATATACTTACAGCAAGAGGAAAGCCAAGAAGAGCAAAAACCACCAAGGAGGCAATCTTAATTGCTTCATTTCCTCCAATTACATGCTGAATCCCGTTGGAATACTCTCTCACTGAAACCAAACTGATTATAGCAGTGCAAGCCATGCAAGCAAACACTATAAAATTGCTAATTGCCCAAACAAGTCTTGCACCCATCCACTGACACATTGGCTCAATCAAGAAAGAGCTAATGCCAAGAACAACCTATCCAATACAATTTGGTGGTTTAATGAAGAGGGGTAACCACGGAAAGAAAAAGACAAAAATAAAGGGGAAACCAAAAAAAAATATAAAATATAAAAAAATAAAAATAAAAATAAAAAGACATTGCCAGTAAGATGAACACAACTCTGAAATAAACAATTACTTATTATCATTTTAATTGCCTTCATAAATGGAGAAGTTAAGTTCGTGATGCTCAATTTTGAGTTCTTACTGAATTCAATAGCAAACCGAATGCACCTTCTCTGACACCTTGATCATAAGCTTCAACTTCAGAGACATCTCCTTTTGGGTTCCCATGATAAACTTCTCTCCCCATCCAATCCGTATCGAAAAGGAAAAAGGGAAACCAGGCCAACTGCATGCAAGAGACAGGCTGTTAACAAACATGAGGAAGATGTGTGTGTGTGTGTGTGTGTGTGTGTGAGGGATAATAATTGGAAAGAAAATAATCGATCAAAATACAATTTCCCTAAGCCTAACATGACAAGACACCACAAAGTTGTGTATAAGTTTTGATGCATCAATTACCCAGGTAAGAGCCATGACAATAAGTACTGAATGCATGGCTGGTGGTAAATGCCTTAAGCTGGTTAACAAATTGACCAAGACTGCTCCGGGGCTATCACTGAAACTTTCACTTTGGTCTTTCTCATTGTTTGAGTCTGGCTTCTTTAAATTTCTATCCATTTCATAACTACTCCCCGACTTGTTGCCCAAAGCATTGTTAACTACATATGTATCAGGCTGAGATTTTGAAAGGTCAGAGACCATCTGTTGAGAACCATCCAAGAGAGGAGCAGAATCTGATAAACGGTGAGGATGTATTGGTGTTAATGGAACCTCCTTTGCAAAATAGAGGGTCACCAGTGTACATAAAGTAAGGAAAACCTGCACGCAAACCATACAATATTCTTGGAATTCAAAAATAATCTAAACAAAACATATATGAGCAGAATATCAGCAGCAACAAAATTTGACAACAGAGAATGGAATAATTCAGTTAAGTAAATAGACACAAAAATGAACTAAATTGAAGTAAATGCCCAAGGCAATATTTGGAATGGATGGAACTAAAATGAAGAATTACGCAAGGACCAATACTTCATTTTGGTGTGTTATTCAAAAACATTACATAAATATTTCACACATGTTTGGTAACGTTTATGTTTATAGTTTTTTCATTTATACATATAAAAATTTTGAAAACAGAAAACAAAAAATTGTTTGAAAAATTGCAAACAATTTACAAAAATTAACTACAAAAAATTGGTTTTACTTATTTAGACAAAAAAATATATGTATATATATTCATTCCTTCCTCCTCCCACCTCCTCCGGCCACCACCCACTGCTCAACCACATCCGACCTCCATCTCCTACTATCGACAACAACCTTGGGCCACCACCTCTTGTAGACGACCTCTCTCACTTGTTTTCAAAACATGTTTTTAAATCACATGTACCAAACATGTTTTTGTTTTTGTTTTATCAAATATAAACATAAACATATTTAATATTTTCTGTAAACAAAAATAACTATATAATAATGAGTTTTGAAGGCGGCACCTTCAAAAACATGAAGAAAGCCAAGAAATAAAGAAAAAATCAAAACAAACAAGTGTTTAAAAAAACATACTAAAAACTAAAACCAATATAAATGTATATCAGTATATATGGTATAATAATATTAAAAAAATGAACAAGTTTGAGATCTACACATCTATTCACATAAAGACAAAAATGTACAATTTGGTGCTTAACATGAATAAAAAATCATTAAATAATCAAAGCAACTATCAAACACAATGGTTTGTAATTGTCAATGTTCATAAGTTCCTACCAGACAAGGTTACAAACATATAAGAAATAATGACAATATTTAATAATAATATAATGCCAAAAGGTGTACAAGGGGTCCAACTCCAGTAGGTTTGAGCAGGCTGGAAGCCTTGTCTGGGCCGAGCCTAAGTTGCACTATGGCCAGCCCAGGCCTGCCTGAGCCCAACCACTCAACTCGAGGCAGCCTAACCTCAATAAGTGGAGCTCTGATTAGGCTCTAGTTGCCCACAAATGAATGGGTTGATTGGTTTTGTCAATTTTTATGGGCTTTCCGACAAATGAATAAGTTTTTCCAATTTTTTAAAGTTATGAGTTGCATAGAAAGCTAGAGGCATTAGACAGTTTGATTGGTTCAATTACGAAACGATCTCCTGGGAAATCCTTCCCAATAAAGTAAAGCTAGAAAGCGGGCAGAACAAAGAGTATGCGGAGATTGAATTCTGCTGACTAGAACAGATATGCTTTGCAAAAATATTTCATCTGCTTCATGAATTTCACGAACCCTAAAGCATTTTCCTGCCCACAAACCAAACTAGGGGGGAGAGAGAGAAGTTGTAAAACTCCACTCAACTGTTGTCAAAATATAGTCCCTAGATAGCATAAAAAACCATAAGGTATCAAAACAAAAATAAACATAGAATTAGAGATTTATATATATGCATTCTTGCCCATTTACTTATTTTTATACATAATGAGAAACATTGCGTATCTCGTAGGAACATAACTACAAACTATAAATACACAACAATTTTCTCCTACATCTCTATAAAATCAATGAGTCATAAAGTGTTGTTGTCCATAGCCAGCAACCATATAAAGCATCTCTCTCTCTCTCTCTCTCCGTGATTGTGTATTGTATATATACATACATTCATTACAAAAGGGAACGACACTGACTAGATTGAAGACAAGAGAGAGAGAGAGAGAGAGAGAGAGAGAGAGATGGAGTTCCCAAGGATAAGAGGCAGAAGAGAGATGGAGGCAATAAGGCAGTGGAGGCAGGGTTGTGGTGGTGCTGCAATGCAGGACAACTAGTGCGATTGTTGAAGGGTTGGAACCCATGTACTTTGTTATTTCTTCTTACAATCCAAAGACAGAAAAAAAAAATCAAGGAGTTTTGAAGTATGATTCATCTAACTTCTGGAAGAAAGACACATGTAAATGGCATATATACATCTGTAAAATAATTAAAATCAGGCTTGGGTTTGCATGCCAAGACCTAACTTATTTTGGCTGAGAAATGCCTAGTTTGAAGACCTAAAAAAGCTGTCAAGGCCCAATGGAGATGTATTCACTACTACAACTAAAATGTTGAGGACATTAGTAAATAATAATACCACATTAAGCCATTAGTGAAGGGTTAAAAAAACATAGGGTAAAATACATAAATATATAAAATAAAATAAATAATATATATATCTCTTAAATGACATATGAACATTACATGGCATGGAGAGAAAAAGGAAAAATATGAAAATTTTCACATGCAGCTCCTTTTGGCTTTATGTAATTATGTTGATGGTCAATTTGAGTCCTATTTTTGGGTACTATTAGGTTAGAATGTTGTTGGAAAAATTCAATACTTTGTTATTACCTTCTAGAAGTAAATTTTGTAGATTGCTCAATTGTTGGGTATTGTGGACCCTAATAAGTACTGAATAATAAGTACTAAACATTGAGCCCAGGGTCCAATTGGGGGGGGGCTCCCCCAGGGGTTGGGGGGTCCAAGGGGTGAACCACGTAAATCCTTCTACTCTAGGGTGAACCAAGTGGCCCAAATTTTTTTGGATACTTTGGTAATTTCCTATTGTTTCCACGTTGCCCTAATTTCTATGCTTATAAATTAATGAGGGGCGTCTCTTGTATTGGTAGAGAGTTGTAATTGTTGTAATTGTTTTCTGATCATAGTGAAATCCACAGTAGCCGTGAACGTAACCCTATTCTAGGGTGAACTACATAAATTCTTGTGTTCTTATTTGTGTGTGATTTCTTCAATTCATTGTATCTTTCTTATTTGCTATTTTTTCTCTCACCGATTCTGATTAAAAAGAATCGATTCCCTATGACAAGAAGTTGTAGAGGTCACCCGTGAATCATTTTATGGGTCACACATTGTTACTTGGGTCTTATATGGAGTCTATTAATTTTGAAAATACTCCAGCTTGAAGTTAATTTAGCTTCCCAATTTTGAAAACACAGTCCTAATAATAGAATTTAGAGAAATGTGTGATGCTTTCTGCAACCTTATCTTTGGGTGCAATTCCAATGGACTTCTAGATGGGATTCCAAGAGTTTCTTCTTCACTCTCACAACTATTAATCTCTGGACATTGTTCACAACTATTAGGCGGGATTCCCAGAATTTTGTTGTCTTCTTTTTCTTCTACTCTCTCACAACTATATTCTTTACCCCCTGTTCTTAGGGCCCAAAAAGTGCCATTTTCAAAAATAAAACCCGACGCACTCACACCCATATCAATTTTAACCCCTTTACCTACCTATTAGCGTTCAATTTAACTGCTTAAACCGAAATTTAGCAGTTATTCCAGCCTTCAAACTCTGCCAAATCTAAAACTCCTGCAACCTAGAATTTTTTAATTCAAGCCAAATTAGAGTCCTTTCCCAACTCTAAACCCTAAATTGTTCTCCCTCCTAGAACCCTAACCCTAGAAGCTTTTCATAACCAAAAGCCACCACAATTTTCTATTGTGGGTAGCCTCAGGTCCTAGTTTCATAATCTGCCCTTCATCAAAGATGTATTCCATTACAAAACCCCTACGAATGTGATGGGCATGAGAAACCTCTAATGAGAAAAGGTATACGCAGAAATAACTCACCACTGCAACTAGAAATGCTGCCTTAAGATTTCCACAGGCATCACAGCAGGCTCTACTTTTCAGGAAAGGAAACCACCTGCCCAGAAACGAGTTGTCAGATGAACAATCATCAAGAAATCAGAGTTTATGCAACTTAGGAGATTAAAACACCAATTCAGCATTAATTGAAGCAAAGAAATAGTTTATACAACTCAGGTGCAAATCTTGTGCAAGTTAAAATGGCATAATGACAAGAACATGGTCACGAATAGACTGATCAAAACAAAGCTAGTTCTGGTAGATAGGGGGTGTTCGGTGGAGATTATTTTAAGTTAAAAACTGACAATTAGAAAGCAGAAGATAAAGCACCCCTCCCCCAACTTCTAGAAAATCAGCTTTTTTTAAACTTATTTAAGCTATTTCTGCGTAATAAGCTCTAAGCAGAAGTTGCACCATACAGTATAGCACAGACTCCCAAATTAAAATAAACTACAAGCTGCCTGTATAATCCCCACCAAACACCCTCATTAAGGAAGCTGGACATGAACAGACAAGTGCACGCAAGTATAATATCATTGTAAAAAAATAAAAAATAAAAATAAAACTGCATTTATGTAGTTTATTACCTGTTCCAATTTCCACTAGCGCCAGCAGAGAACCCTAGGATGTTTCCAACAGCCATCCATGAGCAAAATATAGCATTTGCAGAATTTCGTTGTTCCGGTCCTATCATAAGTAGTGAGACATTAGCAGTTTAGGAAGACATCCACATGAGGCACTTCGAACGTGATGCTAGAAGATCTATATGTCAGAATCAACAGTCCTTTTAAGATATGGAGAGCAAGTGCATCCAACACATGAGAGAGAGAGAGAGAGAAACTCACCCGACAAATCAGCCAGAAGAGCACGTGCAGGGCCCTGCAAAGAATATAAATGTTACTTTTTGATATGTACACACATGTATAGTTGGAAAGAGTTCTCATTTTCTTTTTCTTTTTTTCTTTTTTTTTTGATTGGCACAAGAGTGTCCAGATCAAAGCCCGACTAATCCCCAGGGGTGCACAGGCCCTCGACAAGAAGTTTGCCGCAAGTGCACCATGATTGATTCAAGGGTTTTCCCCCAGTCCAATGGCCCCAAGGAATTGTTAGCACCTAAGAGGTTTCAATCCTTGAATCTTGGATGGAGCACACCCTCAAGACCTTGCCACCAAGCCAACCCTTCGGGTTAGTTCTCATTTACTACTTTCAATCACAAAACTAATTTAGCAAGCCTACCTGCACAGTATTATTAGCAAGATCTAGCATCCAAAACCCAATGATGAAGACTAAAGCTGCCCTTGTTCGAGTACCTTTGTATGTGCTACATTTGGGAAAGTTTATTAAAACATATTCTTCCACCAAAAAAAGAAAACAATGAAACAAACTGATCAAAAAAAGGCAGCAAATACCTGCAATGCTCCTTTGTGTCCCCTAAGATATATCCAATGTCTGCTGAAAAACCAATTATTATCACCTAAAATTACAACATTTTAGTTCAGTTGACATAAAGCAAAATATACAACTGGAGGAAAAATAAATGCACCGCTCTTTAATGCTCACAGCAGCTGAGATCATGACAGATCCAACAAGAATAAACGGGCGTCTTCTTCCATATTTGGAAGTGCATTTATCACTCCAAATACCTACACAAGGTTGAACCTGCAATTCAAATAAGGAAAAAAAGTTAAGAAAGTCTACTTGTAGACATGGGGAACTGAATGATACACATTCTTCTAGTTTACAACTTTCTAAACTGAATGTACCAACACATCTACCAGCGAAAAAAAAAAAGGAATAGATAAACAAAAATAAAGAATTACCAAGGCAGGGTTAGGCATGTGACATGAAAAGTATCATAGTAAACAAAAAGTACAAGCAGAGAAATCATACCAATATATGTCAAGAAAACTTGTAATCAAACATTTCCACCGTAAGCATATCAGACACACTAACCAGAAATGGTGAACCTTTGCCAACTTTTTGGCAGAGAAGTGCTTCTCTATTTCTACCTTGCACAATATAGCTGAAATGAAAAAGGTGCCTCTGAAACAAAAGCATCGCTCAAAGGAAAACGGTTCCTTTGAAACAAAAGTGTCAAAAAATACATCTTGGTGTTCAGTTTTTTCAATGAAACTCAATGTAGATAGCTCTACGAAGTCTTAACTGAAGGTACCTACATTGGATTTGTGTTGGGTTTAGGGTTAAGAAGGCTTCTAGGGTTAGGATTCTAAACGGTAAAGAAAGTTTCTAGGTTTTCTGAAAAAATGTGTGAGATTTGGATTGATTATCAAAAAGGCATGCCGTGTTTTCAGATTTGTGATTGTTGGAAGTTCTAAGCAGTAGCTTTTTCAGTATTTAGTGTAAAATCAAAGGACCAAAACTATGAAAAGGGCCTAGAGTTGTTAGAAATGAATAGGTTAGGATTTTGGGGTTAAAAAAACTACTTTGTCAGACTATCAACAATACCTTGTGTATAGTGGTTTTGAAGGAGGAGAAGTGATGCAGTATAAGAAGCTTAAGAAAGAATAAACTCAAAGAATCGGTGCTATTTGGAAATTGGCATGATTTCAAAGAGAAACCGATAGGAACTATACATAATCATGTTTCTAGTATTATTAGTGTTTTATTTCATAATTATATTTATGCTTTCTACGATTTTTAGGTCAAGGATATTTTGGTAATTTTCAAATTTGCAAACATGGGTTGCAGGGGTCGCCCATGGGTTGTCTTGTAGGTTAAGTTATTTAATTAGTTTCTATTTATGTTTCTTATTTGATCTTATATTGGTTTTAAAAATCCACATATTTTTAGTAGTTTTCTTTTTTAATTCCAGTTGGAATAAGAAGCCTCTAAAGTCTATGTAATGCTTATAATTTAATATATATATATATAATCAAACCAAACCAAATCAAGCCTTAATATATATATATATATATTTTATAAATAGATTGGGAATTAGAGTTGACGTCAAAGTTACCCAACTCACACCATTAGGGTGGCTCTACTTTGACTAGTTTCATAAAAGAGAGAGGAGCCGCTTTGACCAAGGCATGTGATACCTCGTAAGGTGTACTACACATTACTAGTTCTTGGCACAACCTGCAAGAATGAGTTGACCTACACAGCCCAACTGTCCTATAAAAGGAGGTCTCCAACTCCATACAATTTACAAACACAAATCTGAAGGAGAGCTGACTCTCCTACACCTTCACTAAGAGGCCACTCTACTAAGGTTGTCTCAACTCTTCCTCTCCACCTCTGGTGGTCATGCACCATCTTTGTGCCAATCATGATTCCCAGAAGGCCCACGGTCCATACAAATCACCATAGACCTCCCATAAAGATAAAATGCAATGCCTCAACAAGATGTTGCAAATGAATAGAATGGGAGCAAAGTCTTTGCATCCTCAACGTACATGCAATATCCATTGAGTAAAGTTCCTTGCAACTAATTGAATGATTCACTGTTAATATTTTGTCCAAGACTGCTATTCATGCTAAGATATCCATCTTTAAAGAGGTCAAAACAGATATCTGAACCCAACCACTCAGCACCTCAAGAAAAAATGCAACCATGATCCGTGAACGGCAATGTCTTTCGCCACCTCATCACAATTTAAACAAATGAAGCAAAGGAATCCAAACACAGAGAGAGAAAAGCTCATTTTCCATTACTGCCTCTCAATCAAGGAACTCAAAAGTTGTGAACACCATACAATTCATAATAAAAGGTGATTTCTTGTCAAACAAGGTTATGGCATAAATGAAGAATAGGCAACAAAAATGTATGAACAAACCAACTCTACTTCAAAAAAAAAAAATGTTCTACACGAATAAAAATAAAAAATCCATAGTCATTGCTTTATGACCAAACAAGCTTAGTAGCATGGTTACTACCAAGAGAACTCACTTCTAATGTCTTTATCAACCACCACACTACACATAACACACTTCTGATATATCTAAACACATATATCAAAGATGCCTTTGCCGTGTCCAAAAAATTCAGAATAAGGCCAAGTTTGGGAAGACTAAAAAAGTGCACTTTTTGTCTTTTTGGACTAAAAAATTGAGGTTGAAAATATAGATGTTTGGGTTAACTTTTTGACTTTTTATTGAAAAATGTGTAATAAAAAATTGTAAAAATTGATTTGTAGGGAAAAATTTGAATTGAGAGTTGTGCAGCCGTAATTGTTGACTTTTGATGACTTTTGGTGAATAGTGTTAACTTTTTAGCTTTTTGAGTAACTTTTTGGCTTTTTGGCTTTTTTGGATCTTCCCAAACTTGGCCTAAATTTTATCACTTCACCACATGCTAACCATGTGTGGTAGTTGGATATGTTGTAGAGATGTTGTGTTGCTTGATTTTAGTAACAAAAGCAAAAGGAAAAAACAACGAAAATGAAAATAAATGCAAAAGGTTAATCCAACTAATCAAAAAAATAAACAATTCCATCTTTATCTAGATCTAGTTATAGTAATTGAGAGGCTCAATACCTCCAATAGCTAAAATACTAACATCCAGCATTTTCCAATGCCATGATTGCCATTAATAGAGCTGCCAACGAGCTGAGCCCAGCAGAGCTTTAAGGTGTTGGATTCAGCTCTACATCCTAAGGATGTGATCAAGTTCAGCTCATGTTTGTCAAAAGCACAGCCCCAGTTCCACCTGCTCAAACTTGCTGGTGACTATTCCACAAGCTCATGGCCCAAGCTTGAGTAAGCTCAGTTTAGTCCTGTTAATTGGTTTTGAGTAACATATGTTTTATTCTAACTGATGGAAGACTGAAAAAGCAAAGGACAAAAGAAAAATTCATGATGCAACATATCTTGTAAGTTGTCAGCCAATCATGTGACTTGTGGGCAACTTTTTTACCTTTTATATCATGTTATGTTTACAACAATTGCAATGGTCAAATTTAAACATGAGGATAATAAATAGGTATGTATGTAACTATAAGGGAATTACAAAACCATTGCAAGTTCACATCCCTGAACCCAACAAGCTAAACATCAGCCTGAAGTGGTTCATGTAATAATTAATTGGGACCAACATCAAATCAAGTTTGAGTTGTTCATGAACAGTTCGGGTCATTTACAACTTTGTTTCAAATTTTTAATATCTCTGAGGTAAACTGTAGTATCTTGAAACATGGCAAACCTTCAAAATGAATCATTACCACTCATTACTTCACTAATTTAAAAATTTTTACAGTCAGTATATGGTTTGACTACAAAAAAATTGTATGAGAAGAGAAGTTATTGTTGATAGTTGTACAGATCTAATGTTGCTAACCTGCAAGGTCTGCTGTACAGGTGCTGACACCAATTTTACCACTTTCAGATCTATGTCTGCAGCTAAAAAATTGATTACTATTTACCAAAGAAAATCATTCCTGGTGTAATAATCGATTGCATGGAGTTTAATATTCTTATCTGTATTGATGTTTCAAACGAGGCAGGTGCAAAAGGACTAAATGACGAGTCTTTATCATATAAGTTCTGGTAGAGTACAAGCTGGTACAGTGCAACCAAAAAACCAAACCAATCAAACAATAACCAAAACCAACCAAACACTCTTCATTTGGTTTGATTCAATTTTCAAGGCATTCTACTTGGTTTTGTTCAAGACATACTAACACCACTGGATCTTATTTTAGATTAGGGTTAAGATATTGGATAAGCCATATCAACCAAAAATTGACCTTTAATACAACAACTTAAAGTAACTTTAGGTTCAGCTTCTTTCTCTCTGTTCATGATAATGAATGATTTGGATCACATACAGATTTAAAATAGGGAGTATCATTAGCCAAATTTTTATAAAACCCAATTAATTGCATTTCAGTCTAGGATTTTCATTAAGTAGTAATAAGGGGAGAAACTATATCAATAAAAATTTAAAAAAAATAACAAAATTCCTATAAACTTTCCATAATTTCTGAAGAGAATAAAGAAGCGAAAGAGGAGACAAAACTCCTCCAAATCAAACCAAACTAAACATCAAATAATCTGGTTTGATGTGGTTCCAAAAGCTAATGGTGGGGTGGGGTTTCAGCTTACAGAAATGGAAACTGATCCTACAATGGTTTTGTTTAAGTTATCAATAGTTCACAAATCAAGATAGACTCATGAAGCGCTGTCAAGATTAAGACCTTACATCTCCAAATAGCTCACCAAGGAGGAAAGACTGTTCCTCTACCACACAAATCCTGATAGAAAGACAAGACAAAGAACATCCCATGCTTCTATATCTTCCACACTACAGTATCCTAGTTGGTCCCTTAAACCCTCGACTCAAAGATGCAACCAAAGAGAGTCTCCATGGACTAAGGCCCTGTTTGGCAAGTAGCTATTTTAGCCAAAAAGGAACCAAAAAAGCCCAAAAAAAATTAATTCGTACTAAAAAGTCAATGATTCCTTACCATTCACTCCACAAAGTCAAAGATTCCTTTCCATTCACACTATTTTTTGCACGTTTTTCCATAAAAAGCCAAAATTTCCTTCCCAAACATATTGATTTTTTTTCATTCCATATTTTAGTCAAAAAGCAACTAAAAAAGTCGCTTCGCAAATGGACCCTAAGGCCTCATTTGGCAAGTGGTGATTTTAGCCAAAAAACCAAAAAGTCACTAAAAAAAATCAAAAAGTTAATAATCTATACCAAAAAGTCAAAGATTCCCTTCTCTTTATTTTTTGCACATCTTTTCGTAAAAAATCAAAAAGTAATCCCAAACATACTAGTTTTTTTTTTATATCATATTTTAGCCAAAAAGTTACTAAAATAGCCTGCTCCCAAACGAGGCCTAAATCTCTAATTTTTCCAACTCCCTTGTAAATTGTGGATTCCATTTCACTCCTCTAAGGCGGTCCCATCAAGGAACATGACCTTCAAAGTAAACAAATCAGGAACATGTCCTTCAAAGTTTTGTGGCCACGCCATGAGTCCAACCAGAGCCTCACCCTTCCCCCGTTACTCACCCTAAACAAGATTATTTTGAAGAATTCACCCCAAACACTCATGATTCCTTTTCATAACCCCAACCCATGTGAGACCATAAACCCTGCCTATGACCTAATGTCCCCAAGTGCACCCATATCTCCTCTCCATAGCCTCTCTCTTCCACATTTAACCTCCATAATCATTTCCCAATAAAGTATAGAGGAACTTATCCATCTTACAAATCCCCAAACGTCCCCTATTAACTAGCGAACACACACTCTCCCAATTAGCCAAGTGGTACTTGAAATCCTCCCCCCCCCATTACCCCCAAAAAAATAAATAAATAAATAAATAAAAAATCCCCACAAAAAGCCTCTTTGGAACCTCTATACCTTTCAAAGTTCCACCATAGAGCATAAAACAATACACAGAGACATCAGAAACAACCTATGGAAAGGAACTTTTATTTTGATGAGCTAGCTTCTTGTCAAATCTCTCCACCACCTATCTCAAAATTGACTAGGCTTTAAATGAAGAACCAAACAAAAAATCCAAGTATGAAGTAGGCAATGAATCAAAATAGAAATCCAAGATACCATGTCATCCACTTCCCCTACCCTAATGAGAGCAATCTTTATTAAATTAACATAAAGTCTAGAAACAACCTTGAAGCATAGAATAACGCACCTAACAACCTCAATCTTCCTCCTTAGATTTGCAAAAGAAAACAATATCATAAGCAAACAATAGATGAGACAAACGTATCCAACGTCCACCTCAACCCGTACATCAAACCCATTAACTAGACCTTCCCTTATCACCCTATTAATCATACAAACAAAATCTTAAATTCTTTAGAATCTTCAACGATCTTCTTCTTCTTCTTTTCTTCTTCATAAATCCACAATTTCAATGATTTTGTGAACATGTCCTAATTTCTATAATAGAAATGCAGTACACCAATAAGCAAAGGAAGAGGTCATTGAATAAAAAAATTATGCATGCACACATATAAACACATACCATTTCAATATTCTGACATGACCACGCCATGTTTGTGTCCATCTTTGTTTCACTATATCTGTGTCATATTGAATCAGGGCCTAGAGGTATAATCAGGGCCTAGAGGTATGTGCATCCAACCCAGAAGTCAGATTTGCTCCTAAGCTGTGATTTAGTCTACCAATTAAAATAACAAATATATCTAAATACTACAAACATATCAAATCTCATGCAATGGCATCACTAGCAAAATTTCCACACAAAAGTGATATGATTCAGTAGAGCATCCAACCCATTGAAAATAAAGTTGCAGTCATCACCTACCACAAGGCCTGTAATAGGGCCACAAAGCCAGATAAATGAAGAAAAAGCATGTTGTATTCCAAGCGTCTGCATCAATGAGTCAAAGAAGAGCATAGTTAACCCAACAAGAATATACACAATCCACAATGAGTATTATATACCACAATGTTGAAAATTACAAAAATTTATTCACATGAACATGTATGTACCTATGTTTATATGCAAGTGCTTATATAAGATCAATTCGTATATTTATGCATCTACATAACAGATAAAAGCAAGTGCAATAGTATATGAAAAATATAAGATCTAGTTAAGTTATTACATTACCTTTAAACGTCCTTGAAGCCTTTAAAAGCCAAATATATGCGTGTCACAATTGCAAATAACAATTTTGTTCTCTCTCCAAATTAGTAACAATTTCTTATATAAACAAACGAAAGCACTAACGTAAGGCAGAGCTTGCCATATAAACAGTACTTTTCACCAGTTGTTTAATTTAATCAAGCAAAATGCATATATCGAATGTGTTTCACTTCAATCATATATTTACTCATTGTCTAAAAACTCCTATTTATCCAAGTCAAGTTAAACTAACAACCATTGCCTTCCTATTGTATCTCCAACGCTGTTTGGTACAACTTAAATGAGGTGCTTATAGCTTATTTTAATTTAGGAGTCTAAAAAAAATTGGTCACTACAATTAGCATTTATTTGGCCACTGAGAAAATGGGAAAACAATAAAGGTGAAAAATTAGTAATTTCTCTCTTCTTTTCATCCTTAATCTTCTTGGGTTTCATCTTAGTTTAATGGAAAATTCTGTTTTGCGTTTATGTTTAGGGTTAGTTCTATGATTTAGATTTTAATGCAGCATCTTTGTAAGCATGTTAAGATTCAAACTTTCAATCTTTCCAACAAAACAGAGTTAAGCATAGCATCAGAATTTGCAAATGTACAACTTCAAAATTTCACTGATTCAGTCCAAATGTTCATGCTTTCTCTCTATATATTCTTAAAACCCAAAATTAACATTCAATAAATCTGACAATTAAACACAAAATCTAGATTTTTACACATGATAGAGAGAGACCTGAATGTAAGGAGTGAGAAGAGAGAGTTGCAAAGCCCAACCGAATTGAACACCGGCGGCGACGGTGCAACTGAGAATCAAGGTCGCCAAAGCGGCATGCTTCGGTGGGGGATGAGAGGGAGAAGAACTGGAAGGCAGATCGGAGTCGATTCCATTTGAAAACCTTGATTTCTCATCAACCTCAATCTGATGATGATGAGGTTGAGCTTCCTCCAAACCCACCAATTCTACTTCCTGTCTCAGATTCTTGTAAGGCACCCGGATCGAGACCGAGTCCATTTTCACCTATATATGAATCTATCCTTATATATGAATCTATAACTGTGTGTGTATATATATATATATGATCTAGTTGATCATGGCAATAGATAGATCCAATTCCCTGCTTTTGAAATGTAGAGAGCGATAGAGCGAGGGAGCGAGAGAGAACGAGGTGGGGGGAGATCAAATTTGGGCGATGGGTCTCTTCTGGGCTCGGGTGTAGGGGCGTGAGATGATGGACAAATATTTTCCACATTCTCACAAAATTTTATTTTTGGTTAAATTACATTGACACTCGAGAGTTGGTCCAATTATTATCCACTCTCGATATTTTGAAAATTATATCTCGATATTTTGAAAATTATATTTCTACTCTTATGATTAATAGTCTCGTTTTACAAATTCTGTTTAAATAAAATGTAACAATTCTTAGTAGAAAAATAAAAGAAATTACATTAAAAAAAATAAAGAAAATGAGAAAAAAAAGATGAAGTACAGCAAAATAAAAATAAAAAAAAAAATGTATGAGTTCAATATTTTCATTCTGTCAAAATAATTGTAATGACAGGGGGTTAGTGTAATTTTCCAAACGTCAAGGATGATAATTATTAAATCCAAACCTCAGAGGATATAAGTGTAGTTTATCTGTTATTTTTTCTCAATTTTGCCTATTCAAGTTTTTTAATTTATTTTTAGAATTAATTTTTATTAAAAATTAGATAAAAAATAGCATAATAACAATTATATGGGATAAGAATACTTTATTATGTATACAAAAAGTTTAAGTGCATAGATAAATACATATTCTAACACAAAAACTGTTCATTCAATTATTCGACCGGTCGACTAACAAGAGCTTACTATGGCTATCATAATATCTTCTGATCGTTCAACTGGTCGTCTGATAAAACAATTTATGTGTACGTAGTTGTTGGCTTTTTGGCTTTCGAAGGTTATTTTTGTAATTATGAGCGTGCTAGCAAGGATCAATCAGTCCTTACAGAATTTTGATTGCCAACCAATTATCAGACGATTGTGTTGTAATTCTTTCAGCCTCAATGAAGAGGACTTTTACTGGTGGTTTGATTTAGGATAATTTAAGCACAAAAACAGTTAAATAAAGAGCAATTGAAGCATTTCATTAGTGCGAAAAACTTATAATGATCCAAACTCAGCCTCGTAAAAGTTTACAGCGACAATCTACTTGAAACTACTCCTATGAATGAAGTGCAGTGCAGGAATTTAAAGTACAGGAATGTAAAGAACAGGAAATATAAAAACTGGAACGAAATATGTAAAGTAAGACTGGTTTCTTGGATCTGAGTCTGAGGGCTTTTTTCTGGGGTCTTCCCTGTTATTTATACTCCTCAAAGATGACCATCGAACTGCACTTCAAACTGTCGAACTGCTCCTCCGTGATCACTGATCATGTTGCCTTATAAGTAGTTCCACTACGCCATCACTTGCAGTTAAGCTTCCTTCCTATATTTGAATTTGAATGTGAGTAACTGCTGAAGCCACGTCACCTTGCATCTCTTTGCTGATCTAATGTTACTCGAACCACGCAATAGACAATATCAACTGTCACGTGTACGATCAGGATCGAAGACTTGAACAGTCTTCCTATATTACCCTTACTCTGCCACGCGTCGAACTGTAATTGGTTTTTTACAAAATATGTAGCCAACCGTAGTATTGTTGTTATGTATAACTTACATTTCTAATATAATTTTAAATCTTAATATAATAATATATTATTTATGTTATGTAATAGATATTATAGTATTTTCTGTCTAATTTTAAAAATAAATAAGAAAAACTTAAAATATAACAGATAAAAATGAAAAAAATAAACAAATTTTAAAGAATTAAGCGTCATGTCTAGTATGGTTAGATTTGATTGATGGGCCCAGCGAAAGCATCAGCAACCGTGTTGAATTGAAGTTGATCATTATTGACTTTTATAATTTGGGATTAGATCAGAGCCGTTTATCAAATATGTTTTTGGTTTTTAAGGCTTTTTTATTCCAGGATATAAAGACTAGGATTTGATATTATATTTTGTGGGATTCACATATTTTATGTTTGTAATTTTTTTTTAAAGAGAATAAAATATTCCATGAGATTGTATATCTCCCAAAAGTGAAAAATATACAATACCACCACCCCCATTATATCATATCCCTTTGGTTGGGATATGATTTGAAAAGTCCAATTTATCTTTTTGTCTATCCAACATAATATAATTTAATATATTTTTTTCCCCCATTATATATATCCCCTAGGTTTGGATATGATTTAAAAAGTCTAATTTACCCTCTTGTCTATCTAATATAATATAATTCAATATAATTTTTGAATTTAATATAATATAATTATTGAATTTAATATAATATAAATTAATATAAATTTTGAATTTAATATAAATATATATTATGAAATTTAATATAATATAATTTAATATAAATTTTTAATTTAATATAATATAATATTATTGATAAATTTTTAATTTAATATAATTTTTGAATTTAATATAATATAATTTTTTTTTATCATTATCAAGTTGACATTAATATAATATAATTTCTTTTTTGTTTGGAAAAATTATTGAATTTAATAGGAATCTTTAATTTGTTCCAATAAAAAATCGTATGGATTTTTAATTTGTCTATTTGCATTATTTTTGAATTTTGAATTTGTTTATTTGCATTAGTTCCAATATGGGTATTTAAAATATATTATGAGGGCAATCTTGAAAATTACTTGTTTATATTCCACAACATATTTTGTAAAACAAACATGTATAATATATATCCAGTCTTATATATAAAGTCAACAAAGATGAATTGAGAGATATATTATCTAATACATATATCCTATTCATTATATATTCTGACTAAGTCTCGCATCATATTATATCCTCCATTTTATATCCAGTGAAACAAACAGAGCCTTAGTTTGCTATGATTTTTGTTTTTTTTTTCTCCATTCTACTTGGTGATTTGAATTGTTATTTGTTGATTGTTATTGATTTGTTTGTAAATTTGTAGTGAAAAAACTCGTAACGTTTTTGTCAGTTCATACTCTGCTTTTTTGTTACTGATGATTTGTTCAAGAATACAGTAAAGTTTTACTATGGTAGTCAATAACATTTTACTGTGAATTAGAGTAAAATGTTAATGTGAATTAGAATAATATTTTTATCGTTAATAGAATAAAATGTTATTTTGACGTTAATTTTTTTTTTAAAAAAAGAATTTCTAGTCAACTTAGATTTTGTTTAATAGATTCTGATGAAAGGATTTTTAAAATATTAATTTTATTAAAAATCGACATTTAGATAAAAAGTTATATCATTTTAAAGTTTAAAATATTAAACTGCTCACTGAGAATATTTTGGTAATAATAGTGTGTGTTGAACTTTTTAATAATTTTTTTTTGTATTTGTCCTTCATGTATTAAAATTTTATTATAAGGGAGTTTTGAACAAAGGAATAAGCTCTCCTCCATATTTCGTATCTCCATACTTCTTTTATATATATTTTTTGTAAGTTTTAATCCGAATCCCATATTGATAATCCAATCCATTTATTTCGTAAGTCCCACAATAAAGGTCATCCATGCAAAAAATCAATTTCATCAGAAAATTATAAATACAAAAATTAATCACATTTTGTTTTATAAAATGAATGATAAATATAATTAAATTTAAACCATCTATTTTATAATTAAAAAAAAATACGATTTGTTCGTATATTTATAATTGTCCGATAAAACTAATTTTTGGTATAGATGACCTTTATTGCGAGGCTTACAAGATAGACGATTCAGATCATCAGTGTTGATTCAAATTAAAACTTACAAGAAGAATATAGAGAGATAAGGAAAGATGAGGTATGGAGGGAAACTTATCCCTTGACGAAATTTCCATTCAATTAAGTGAGTTAATTTTAACAAATTCAATGATCATTTTATGTTAAAAAACTAACAAACGACTTTATCAACTAGACTAAATTGATAACAATCTAAAATTTAAGGTTAAAATTGAAAAACTAACAAACAATTTTATCAATTAGATTAAATTGATACAAAGCTTAAAATTTAAATGTCAAAACTGAATCAATTAAAACGTACGAATCAAAAAATACAAGGGACAAAATGTAAAAACTACTAGTCTAATTTACATTTTTTTTAAAGAAAAAATTACAATTCAGATTATTTTCAAAAAAATAATTACAAAATTATTTTTAAAACTTATAAATTTAATTATTAATATTCAAACAATTTTCCCTTGATTTGTAATTTTTTTATTTTTATTTTATGAAGTACACAATTTTTTCTTTTTTTAAGGAAAAACAACATGTCAGTGTAAAGGCTGAATTTTTTTTATTTTATTTATAAAATTTATAAATTTTAATTATTAAAATTATAATTTTTTTCATATATATGTAATTATTTTTAAACAATACATCAGAATAGTAATTTTTCTTTTCTTTTTTATTTTATTTTTAGGGCTAATTACATATACACCCCTCCAGGTTTGGTTAAATTACAGATACCTCTGAGGTTTCGGAAATTACATCCCGCCCCCTGAGGTTTGTATTTTCATAACAATTTACCCCCTGAGGTTTATATTTCATAACAAATTACCCCCTAATTTCTTCTGCAAATATAGTATTCAGGGGGGAATTCGTAATTTCTCAAACCTCAGGGGTATCTGTAATTTTGTCAAACCTGGAGGGGTGTATATGTAATTTGCCCTTATTTTTAAAACTCTCTTCTTCTCTTTCTCCCCACACGACGATCGCCAATAGAAACCCTAGAACACAGACCAATCTGTGCCGGCGGCGAAGGCACCAATGGCGACGAACATGCCAAACTTAGAGTGTCGAATGTACGAAACTCGGTACCCGGAGGTGGACATGGCGGTGATGATTCAGGTCAAGAACATCGCCGACATGGGGGCCTACGTCTCACTTCTCGAGTACAACAACATTGAAGGCATGATCCTCTTCTCCGAGCTCTCTCGCCGCCGCATTCGCAGCGTCAGCAGCCTCATCAAGGTCGGCCGCATCGAGCCCGTCATGGTCCTCCGCGTCGACAAAGACAAAGGCTACATCGATCTCAGCAAGAGGAGAGTCTCCGAAGAGGAAATTCAGACCTGTGAAGAGAGGTACAACAAGAGCAAGCTCGTTCATTCGATTATGCGTCATGTCGCCGAGACTATGATTCTCGATCTCGAGGTAATTCAAGTGTCATTGTTGTTTGTAGTTTTGATTTGATGTTTTTATTGCTCTAAAGCTTGAGTTTCGAACCGTTATGATACGAGGGTTTGGTAATTTGTGGAATATAGGAATTAATGTTTACGAATAGTTTCTTGTGTTTATTATATGATTATCTGGTTTGTGTTTCAATTTGTTTAGAATTAATTTCATGATTTCCTAGAATTTGGAAGTTTGGGCTTTAATGTTTTTAAGTTTTGGTTTGATGTGTTCTTAGCAAACTATGGAGAAATGACTGAAATATTTAATGATAGCATCAAATGATGGCCCAAATCTGTCTTTCAATTGTTGACTTTGAAGGACAAGCTGCCAATCACTTAATGGAACTCAACTTAAGAAAGCAAATGATTGGGTATTTTTCTTGGTGCCAACCTAGTCTTAATGGAACTCAACTTAAGAAAGCAAATGATTGGGTATTTTTCTTGGTGCCAACCTAGTTGGGATCGGGTTGTTTTACTTTGACGCTCTCTGCACATCGTCCCCTTTTCATATGTTATGTATGTTTTCTTTATCAATAAAGTTCCTTCTCTTTTGCTGATCAAAAAAAAAAAAAACTTTAGTCAACAGGGGCTCAGGCATACGTTTGTCCTAGAAGGCTAGAACCTCTATTTTACCTGCAAAGCAATGGTGCCTATGACATTGTTTGTAAAATAATAATACAAGAATATCTTAAGGCTGTGTTTGCAAAGGGAAAGCGAAAATGTGAATGAAATATAAGCTGGATGTTTTCTCCCTTTTCTTTTCCAAATTTATATCCAAATCCATGATTTAAACACAGAGGAAGGGAGCATAAGTTCCTGCCTTCACTCGTTTCCATTTAAAATGAGATTTGAAGTTCATTTCAGCATTTACAGTGCATTTGGATATGAATGATGGGAGAGGAAGGAAATAAAAGGACAAGGGATAGTACTGTTTTAGAGGGAAATATAGTACTGTTTTCTTTTTAGATGATAAATATAGGAGGGAAATAAACAGATTTAGAGGGAAAAAGAGAAATTCCTCCTCACTTTACGCCCACTCTGCTTTCTTCCCATATGTCAGAACGGATTTTGGACAGAAAGGAAGGGGAGTGAGTGACTTTTGGTTTTACGCACTCTCTTTTATACCAATTGATTTCTTGTATTACTGTTTCTAATTGCATGCTAACGTTTTCTCTCCTTTTTGTTGTTCTTCTCTTTCCCAAACAAGATGAGGATTAAGAGCTACTACCCACACTTTACCCCCCTTATGTTGTCTTTTTTTTCTCTCTCCTTTTTTTAAATAAAATCGTCTTGAAGTTTTTTTCTTTTGTATCCCATTTTCCCAAACTCTCTCTTGAGAACAATTTTCAACTCGAGAAATAACTCATGTTTTCCCCTGTAGAATATTATGGGAAGATGTGAATGGTTTTGGGAATGGAGAAGCTAATGTTGTTTTATGATTATTGGTTCTTCAGGAGTCAGTTTGAGTTTTTTTAAACTTGGAATTGGTGTATAATGTGCTTGTCACATAGAAATAGAGGATTGGCAACTTGTTTGCAGGAGTTATTTTGTTGAGCTGAAATTATTTGGCTCATATTAACTAATAAACTATATTTTCTATTATGAGCAATTTTCTGTGTTGTAGAAAAATATGGGCCTGAGGCCCAATTTCTGTCCAAAGACGTCTTGATAATGTCTGTGCTAAAATAATTTCGAAAACTCTCTTTCTTACTCCGTACTTGGCTTGTCCCTCTAGGCGTGCATGCAAATGGCACAAAGTAAAATCTTAGCATGTTATTGACCTTGAAGCTTGTACTGCAACATTTTGAACAATTTAATTTAATTTGAGTCTCTTTTTTTTAAATATTGGGATGAGTGCGCGATGTTTGGTTGGTAATTTTCTGACTCCTTGAGTGTGATTAAGGGTTGGTTTGGGATGTCCTAAAAAAGTGCACTTTTTTACTTATTGGTGGGTTTGGGTTGGGTTTGGGTTGGGTTGGGTTTGATGTGATGTGTTAGAGAGGTGATGTGATTTAAATAAGATGATGTGACTTAAATAAGATAGTGACTTTTTGACTTTTTGGCTTATTTAGTACATGCCAAACTAGCCCTAAGTACAATGGCTTGATCATCTTGAATTTGATAGAGCATATACATTGTTCTCATAGTTGCAACTGTTACCTAGCCTGTGACTTTGTTTTAATGAACTTAATGTTTCCCTTCATCTATTTATGTTCCCTGAATGCCTACTTTTCATACATTTGCATTTGTTTGGGGCTTCAAATTTGAGGCCAATTTCATTTACGTTTAATTAAAAACAGGGATATCTTTCTCATGCCTTTCTTTATTTCACCATCCAGTTTTTTTAAATAATATATTGCTTGTGCCAAACACGTTTTAAATTGTTGTATGCTGAAGATCCATATTTCTTTCTGTCTAGCCTCCCTCTTGTGAAGAAGCTTGGCTAGTTCTAACCAAAATATCTGCTGAATGTATCAATGTACTGCTGTGCTGATTATTTGGTCTTCTCTCTCCACACGTATGGCCACTTCTAAAAGCAAATTATATTTGACAGGATTTGTACATTCATGTTGGCTGGCCTTTGTACCGAAAATATGGTCATGCTTTTGAGGTAGGATTGTCCACTTCTTTTTGAAAATAGTATTTTCTCTTTAACTAGCAATAAGGTACCTATGCTTGTATATTTTTCCCCTGGTGTAGGCATTCAAGTTAATTGTTAATGATCCTGATTCAGTTCTTAATTCCCTCACCCGTGAAGTTAAAGAAACTGGCCCTGATGGAAAGGAGGTAATCATTGTCTACTTAAAGTCTCTGGGCATCATTCTTTCTATTGGTCACAAGGCTACTCACTATCCCCTCATTCTATAGGTGACTAAAGTGGTTCCTGCTATGTCAGAGGAAGTTAAAGATGCGTTAATAAAAAACATTAGGAGAAGAATGACTCCACAGCCATTGAAGATTCGGGCTGATATTGAAATGAAATGTTTCCAGTTTGATGGTGTTCTTCACATTAAGGTCTTGCTTCCCTCCTCCTTTGCCTCTATCATCTGTTCTCTGATTGGCTTATTCTTCAAAGAATCATGATCATATTGTGGAAGGTGTTGTTTGTTGCCATTGCGAACTTGTTTTTAACTTATCTCCATTTCTGACTCTGCAGGAAGCCATGCGGAAAGCTGAAGCGGCTGGCAATAAAGATTGCCCAGTGAAAATTAAACTTGTTGCTCCTCCATCATATGTTCTTAATACCCAGACACTTGACAAGGTAACAAAATCTTATTCAATCAATAGTTGCCTGGATTCTGTGTATGCCTGTGCATTAGTTGGGCCATTTATTCATATCTGATTTTACGTTACCATCTCTTGGGGCATTTATTCATATTTGATTAACCATTGCCATGAGGATGTACAACTTACTCTCTTGTCTGACTGCTTCTCTTCTGGATGCTAGCCTTATGTTCCAATATCTTAGGTGTGAATGAAATGTCAATTGTCTACGTTGTATACATTCCTTGTTGTCTCTTTGTTTAGAGTTAATGTGAGAGGTACTTCTTTTTCAAAAGTATTTAATGCTATTTGTGGGATGCTTGGCTAAAATATAAAGGCTTTTATCTCATATGGACCCGGGATAAGTGGCAATTGTAGACACTTTTTGATGTGTTAATTTCTTGTCTGTAATGTATTGTTGCCAACTTGCCACAATAGTCAAGTCTTTTTTTGCAATCAGGAACCATGGGTTATTTAATATCTACTTCCTAGCCCTGTAAGTAAGAACAATGCAAGCCCTGCCCTACTGGCCCACTTTTGTATCTAGGAAAATAGTGCCAAATATGTATATATTTATGGTTATAGTTTAATGTGATTTTGGAAAAATTTTGGCGAACTTTTTCCTTGGGAAGATTTACATTAATGGATATTTCTCCATTGCCAAAATTCACAGCACAATATATTCCATTGTTTCAATAGGAGTCATTCTGTGTTAGCAATATCTTTAGCTACTCAGCTGATCAATTTCTTTGATTCCTTAGTATTCCACTTTCCTGTTCTGTTTTCTGTGTCATTTAAGTGCCTGCATAGATGTGTCTGTGTGACAATTGTGGTCTACCCTTGTGCACACGTGCATCAGTTCATGACTCCCTACAATAGGGAGTCACTGTAGCAAATATTAGTTTAGGGTATGGTATAAGGGAGCTGATGGAGTGACATAAAGGAGCTCCAACCCCTTAAATAGGTAAGGGAATGATTTAGGGGGAGAGATGGCGATGCTCTTATTTCTCTATCGCATTTCATTTGAAATTAATCTTGTTACACGAATTCTTTAAAGTTATTCCGCAATTAGTCTTTGCCAGCTCCATGAAGTGACACTACTGATTATCCTCAGGCAACAACCTCCTAGGTTCTACATGCAACTGGGAAGTTGGTAATGTTCTCAAGGAAATTTTGTTATTTTATTTTGGTACAGGAACAAGGCATAGCAATACTTAATAAAGCAATTCAAGCATGCTCTGAAGAAATAGAGCGGCACAAGGGAAAACTTACTGTAAAGGAGGCAGCTAGAGCAGTAAGCATCAATTTCATTTTATTCAACATTAATCTTGATTTGCAAGGGCCTGATCACTTTGTTTCCATTTTCGTCACAAATCTCCCTCTCTCTCTCTCTCTCTCTCTCTCTCTCATACGGTGATGGTGCGTTGATTCAGGTGAGTGAACGGGAGGATAAACTACTTGCTGAACACATGGCTAAGCTAGGTCGTGAAAATGAAGAGGTGAGTGGCGATGAAGGCAGTGAAGAGGAGGAAGATATCGGAATGGGAGATATTGACTTGGAGAACTCTGGCACTGGGATAGCAGATTGAGAATGCAACTTAGGTGATGACTGAGATTTTTTTTATTTTATTTTTTAAAAATCTTATACTGTTACCTTTACTTTTCAACTCGCGAGTGTCTGAACTGATGTAGAAAACCTGTGTCAAAAGTAACCGCGTTGGTCATTTTTGATTTGGCCTATGTTGGCCAGTGTTCTCTTTTTTGCCAATATGATGTTAATTCATTTGCATTACTGTTCAACTTTTTCTTCCAACAGATAATGCAATTTTGTTGAAACAATTTTTTGGTTATACTTCTCAAAATATAGAGCGTTATAATCCCCCCAACATCTATATTCATCTGTTCATTACGAATGTACATACTAAATCAGGCGATGAAATCACGGTCAATAACATCCTATAGTAAATGGATTATAATTTATATGCCTATAGGATTGATGACAAAGATGAAGATGATGTAGAAGGATGAGAAGAAGAGGCTCCTCTCTCACGAAGCAGCTGCAACACATGATCATACTCCAGTGCTCGAGCCATGTAAAGAGGGGTTGCGCCGTTCTTGCTCTTGGCATTGACATTCGCACCCCGGTTGATCAACACTTCAACTGTCTCCACGTGGCCACCTTCCACTGCTAAATGAAGCGGTGTGTGTCCTTCGTTGTCTTCTTGTTCCAAATCCGACCCAAACTCAACGAGCATCATCACCGCATCCTTGTGTCCTTTGATTGCTGCGACATGTAGAGCTGTCAAACCGTATTGGTCGCAGAAGTTGACACTCGCATCTCTATCTAGTAGTGACTCGAGGTGCTTTAGGTCGCCACGCCTAGCCGCGTTTAGCACTGCTTCGCCCTGTTCTAGTATCTCAACCACTTCCTTCTGCATTGTTTATGCATTCATTCTATCAGAGAAAGGTGGATTACATAATAAAAATTAATATAATTATAATTTATAAGGAGAATAGTATCTACGTTGTGAAATAAAAATGTAAAACAAAAACAAAAACGAAAAAGTAATGATGTATAAAATTGTTCTAAATATGTATACAACATAAATAAATAACATTCTTAGAATGGTTGTACTGTCTTTTATGCTAGGACATCTCATGGTCATGTGTCTTACAGAAAATATTTTTTATATTAACTTTTTAAACCAATAAACTATTTTTAAGCAAGAACAATGTTTGTGACCCCTTTTTGGGGGTCACCCTCCACCCCCTTTGTCACGTGGTGGGTGGTGATTGGAGGAGCA